AGTTCCAAATCGGGCATCCATCTGCAAAAATATAATCTGTCAGTTGGTTTGTCCAATTATAATGGATAGATGACGTCATTGTATTTGGTCAAGTGACATGTAATGTGAATACATAAACAATATAAATTTAAATAATAACACAAATGTGAAAGTGTACAAAAGTCGATTACATGGGTATCTCTGTCCCATTCGTGTTTCAACCGTGAAGCAGTTGTGTTTGCATGGCTGTGTTTCGATTTGAAGGGTGGGATATGGCAGTGAATTTACAGGGTACAGAGGAATAACATCTGAGTCCTCAGGAATGGGAACGTATGGGGGATATCATGGGCGAAACAGTGTACTTACTCTGTTATGTCCATGGTACTACTCATGTTTATAGGCGACGGTTACCACTTTTCATCAGGTGGGCCGTCAGCTTGTTTGCCATTCTAAGTTGTATAAAAAAAGTGAGTTTGTTTATGTCTTCTTCTCTTCAAACGGCTCAACCAATCGGCATGAAATTTGGTATGTAGTATTTGGGATAATCGTGTATTTGATGTGGACACCATGTGGTCTCGATACACGAAATGAAAGTTGGTTCATCCGTCATACTAGTGAACGGGTGCTGCTTGTTACTGGCCTATTAATGTTCACTGCTGTGTGATGAAATGGGATATTCCTTCCTTTCTCGTCGGTGTCGTAGGTGACTAAAAGAATTTAACGGTCGAGGGATGGGCAGCAGCATCCCTCTTAAAGTACTACCAAAGCCTGAGATTAAAGGGCAGGTCAGTTAGCCCATCGTGATGAATACATCTGGAATTCAGCACAATGATTTCGAAGGGGAACGGCGACCTGATAGGGTGTATTGCTAATAGTGGTTCAGTTAGATCCCTTTACTAATAATACCTTTCCCTATCAAGTCGACCTCCTCGTGGTCTACCCGGAAACCATGTTCATTTCCAGGTGTATTCATCACGATGAGCTAACTGACCTGCCTTTTCATTCTTACCTATCATCTCTCACTGGTGTCCGGGCAGTTAGCGCAGGCGTGGTTATCATTCTATTATCGTAAATAAAAAAAAAAAACATAGTCGTCGTTATCATCCATTAAAAATCATGCAGTGAACGTTTATCTGAGAAAACCGTTGGTTATTATTTTCGTTATCCAAATATAATGGTTTCTAAATACATTCAGAGAGTAAGGAACATCTATACAAACTGTCTACACGAACAAAACCGCAAGCAATCACTATATAAAACATGATAGAAAATCTTAAATAACATTGCTATCTACCTGTACATTGTTTTTGTCAGTAATATTATAGTGGGTGTAGCAAAATATGCAGAATATTTGAACAGCTGTAGCGGTGGACCTTGTTGGCCAAATCTGGCGTTGTCGGCGTTACTGTGTCACGGTTGTTACAATACAGCCTGTATAAATGTCAGCTAGTCATATAAGAACATTAAGTAGGGGCTAAGGACCCTTTCACATTAGTAACATTAGCAATTTGGGAGCGATTCGGCGAGGTCGCGTGCGAATCGCTCGCTGCGGCTGCAAGGTGGATAAATTGTAACGCCGAAAAATTATTTGATTGAATCTCTATGAGTTTTATTCTGATCATTGATATTATAGTCATCACTATAATTTATCCGGCGGGGAGGGATCATTTGTTACTTGTGGGGTAACTGCCTCGTAGTTTTTTTTTTAAGAATGATAATGGAATGATAACCCCGCCCGTGCTATCGGTATATACTGACGGAGCACCAGTGGAAGGTGAGAATAAATGCAAGTCAGTTGGCCCACCATGATGAATTCGACAAGAATTAACCATGATGGTTTCCAGGGGGAACCGCGAGGAGGTATATATATATATATATATATATATTCTTGTTAATATTGGGGATTAGTAGTCCCATTGTTAACAAATAAACCCTTTTTTGACTATGAATCCCATTGTGTACAGTCAGGTCGAACTCCACGTGGTCCCCCCTAGATACTATCGAGCTGTAGTCCAGGTGTATTTATCACAATGGGCTAATTTGGCTACCTTTTTATTCTCACTTATTATCCTTCACTGGTTCCCGTCAGCATATACCGTTAGTGTAAATTAGGTTACCACTATCATTCGTTAAAAAAAATGCCCTGCAAACTTTAACTACGAATGTGAATGCGCCCTAAGACATTTAATACTTGAACACGAGCGGCTGCTTACAGCTAACCTCGGTATTGTGTTACCGAGGGAGAGAGATTGGATGTTAGGTAAGATTACGCAAAGTGGAAATCAAATTTACCGTCTGACATAGCTTCTATAATCTACAATTTTATAAGCGAATAGGTGCCATTACAAAAAAAGTATGAAAACTTTTTTGTAATGGCTGATAATGGAGTGGCAGGCGGGGTTACCGCCTGCACAGACGGTATACGCTGGCGGGGCACCAATTAGGGATGATAGGTGAGAATGAAAAGGCAGGTCAGTTGGCCCATCGTGAAGAATACACCAGGAATTCAGCACGATGTTTTCCATAGGGAACCACGTTGAGGTCGATCTGACAAGGTATATTGCTAGCAATGGGGCTTTTATCCATTACTAACAATCCTTTTCAATCGAAACTGGTAAGGCATTAATGGCATTTTACAATTATTTGATAGATAGATAGATAGATAATTAATTATAATATAATTCTTTAAATATATATATATATATATATATATATATATATATATATATATATATATATATTTTTTAATTACTTATCTCTAATTATATATATATATATATATATATATATATATATATATATATATATATATATATATATATATATATATATATATATATATATATATATATATTATTTATTATATTTTGATATATTTTTTGAATTACTTAAAGCATACAAATAACAGACATACACAGTAAAAAGGGATAAAAGAATGCATATACAAAAGAAAAAACAAAATATGCAAAACAAGGAACAATTGTTTCTTTCATGCGTGTGCGCATTCAAAATGGTCACAATTCAGTTCATTGTTTTGATAAGCATTTAATTAAATATATAAGTTGTTTTTTTTTTCAATACTTAGAATCTCAAACAAGGTAACGGTCCACCTGACAGAAAGTGGTAACTGTTTATTATTAAATTACTTTTATGTTATCGATGAACTACCTATATGAAGAGAGTATTAAACAACCAATGTTCCATATATAGTTTTATTGATATACAAGTAAGATTTCAACATTATCTAATATCCGATGCAATGTTTGTAACACGTGGCGGTGGCGGGTTATTAGATGAAAGCTCTCGCTACGTCCCACGCACCTGCATCCGACTGGATTGAGTTTCACCACCAAATATGGCGTATGGTGTATTGTATCGCACCACTCTATTACGTTAGAATATATAGTAATCCCCCCCCTATAACATGGTAGATTCGTTTTGCGTTATAAGAAAACGCGTTGTAGGAGTTTTTTTTTAATGGGTGATAATGGAATGGTAATCCCGCCTGCGCTATCGGTATACGTTGTCAGGGAAGAGAGAGATGATAGGTGGCGATGAGACGATGAAAGCAGATCAGTTAGCCCATCGTGATGAATTCCACTAGAATTAATCACGATGGTTTCCAGGGGGAACCGCGTGGAGGTCAATCTGATAGAGTGTATTGCTGTTATAGAAGCATTCTCGTATAACGCGTTTGTACGACTTCGTATGTATTGTATTTATATGTATGTATTATTGTATTTTGTATGTATTCGTTATGTACAAATAATTCACGTTTAACTCTTCTCGTTAAAAGGGTATTTAAATTGAATATTAAGAAAAACTATGTTTTATTATAATAGAGTTAAGAACATTTTAAATAAAAAAACTTATGCATATGTTAACCAAAAAACAGTTAATTTCAAATAAATTAATAGTTTTATTACATATTTATTCGCTGTCGAAACTGTTTGAAATAATGTTCCATCGACATCTTTTTTTTAACAGAATTTTTTTTTAATCACCCTTTATATGGGAAATGGTAAAATGAGTTTGTTACCACTTGGTACATTAACGACTGAATCAATCACTATGAAATATGGTAATACGTATTACTGGGGAAGGGAGAAGAACGTAAACAATTTTTTTTTATCTTGGCTAGTGAACATTTTACTGTCACGCGTATTATACATATATTTATTGCACCAAAACATACAGTACTAATAACAAATTAATAATAACGTTAGCAAAGGCGAACTTATCTCTAAAAGAGATCTCTCCCAATCAACCTAACACAGTGCTACAGGAAGTAGTGAGTGGGCAGTAGTAGTGCAAGATAGAAATCTAATTATAATATTATTAATTAATTAATAATAATACAAGAAAAGAAGACCCAACCTAGAATTGTTTGGTGCCCATCCCAGGGTCAGAAGCAGAGATTTCCAAAAGTATTTACACAACTTTTTTTAAAGGTTAGGACAATAATTTTTAATACCTCATATAAGGAGTTTACTACCCACAAGTGAACATAAGCCTCTCTCATAGACTGCTTTTGCCATTCGGAGGTTTTGTAACAGTTGCCACGCTTGGCAGACGTTTTGGCAACCGCAGTTAGGATTTGGTAATGTTTAAAGAGGGACACTGCTGCACATCCCTTAAGCGTTCCCATAGTCGCTTCTTACGATACTATTACGGGACCGGGGAGAAGGTATTCATAGTAATGCAGACTATCATTCCCATTGCTAGCAATATACAGGTTGACCTCCATGTGGTCCCATCTGGAAACCATCGTGCTGAATTCCAGGTGTATTCATCACTATAGGCTAACTTGTTTTTCCATCCTTACCAATCTTCCCTCACTAGTGCTTCGCCAGTGTATACCATTAGCATAGGCGGGGCTACTATTTCATTATCATCCATTAAAAAAACATTATAGGACCACACGGTGGTGGCCACAATCTCCTGATGATGAAGGCTGCTTGGCAGCAAATCTCTCTGAATCTACTATTACACTCACTAATCAGACCCTTCTTTGTTTCCAGGTAGTACAGTCGGCACACAATGGCTACCAAGTCTTATAGCAAACACAAAGAGTTTAAAGAGTATTCGAGTAGCAGCAATGTGGTCCCGTACACCGAGGAACAATTCGGTATGTAACATCACTTTTTATACTATTGGGAAGCTGATATAGACCGTCAGCACATGTTCCTAGGGTTAAAAACCTTTTATGGTAGAGTTTAGACCCCGTGTAGCATTTATTAATACGCGTGCTTATACTTATATTAATGGAGAATTTGAGGTTTTATTTAGATAAACAGTTTCCCCATGATTTTTATATGATTTGTCTTTTTTTTTTTATTTAACTTAGAATGGCAAATAAGCTGACGGTCCACCTGTTGGAAAGTGGTAACCGTCCCCTATAGACATGATCAGTACTCTGGACATAACAGAGTATACTGTTTTGCCCATAATATCACCATGCGTTACCATTCCTAAGGACTCAGGTGTTATTCCTCTGTACCATGTAAATTCATTGACATATCCTATTCTTCAAACCGAAACACAGCCTTTATTCTTTAAATGTTTTTAAATAATTTTGGAAATTTCTACACGAACGGAAGAATTCAGAGCAGAAACAATCAGCGTATTATTATTAAATAATTCGCTTCAGACAGACCTATTTCCTTCCTCACATTCATGAATTTACTTATTGATAAATTATCATCATCATCTATGGATGTGGGTTTTATCAACAAATTTTTACTAACTTATAACTTCACTGATTGGTCAAATGGACTGACGAAGACACGACTGAGCTAATATCTCTTCTGCTTGATAATAAGTTTGACTATTTTATTCCAGATATGATAAAATCCGACCTGCTACCGAAAGGTAGCAAGCTGAACTCGCTGGGCCGAGGAGCTGGCTCCAGGGAGTACCACTACGAATACAAAGAGGAGAAACATCCCTCTGGCAAATATGACAGGAAGGATCTCCATACTGTTGAAGTAAGTCACTTTAATTTTAAATAAAGTGAAGTATTTACCCAATTAATAATATCATAGTTAATTAAATTCGAATAAAGATATGAAAATGTAGGACTAGATGGAGTGACGAGCTCAAATGCATTGCAGGGAGTCAGTGGATGCAGGTGGCTCAGGACCGTTCCTTATGTCTATGGGGAAGGCCTATGTTCAGCAGTGGATAGATAATGGCTGAAATGATGATGATGATGATGATTAAATACATGATTCTTAATAAAAGCCTATTTAATATTGTGCTCCACAAAAAACCGACTTCAATCTTGACAAATCCAGTTATTTTATTTAAAAACAAACTAGACAAGCGAACAGACGTTAGAAATCGGTTAAAAAAGGACATACTCGAATTGGCAACTATAACTCATGATGTCTATTTGATTAATACATGAGGACAAGAAAAGTATATTTTTTTCTTGAAATAAAGAGAAATTTCTGGATTTCCATTTAAGCCTAAGGCTTCCCTAAGGCTGGTACTATCCCTGAAATCCCTGTCTATTTATTATTTACCATCCTTATTCGTTTTAACTGTCTTTCATGAAAATTAATAGAACTGATCTGTTAAATCAATCCGTTAAAGTTAGTGAACAAAATTGCTTTACAGGAGTACACAATTCCCCCCAAAACGGCGCCTAAATCTTCCGAATCAAGTTCATATTACTACGAAAGGGAGGAGCGAGAGTTACCAGCACTTAACGGTACCACTGGCACCCGCACATATAACTACGAGACGGTCACTAATACCACACCAGGTAATCATTTTTTTTTTATTATAACATGACATGTGATACATCTTCTCTGAGTAAATCTTTCTTGAGTGAACACAGAGGCGACATGGTCCATGAATTCGACCAACCGGAAAAAGAGCGCTCCAATCTCAACGATTTTTTTTTTTTGGTGGATGAAAATGGAATGGTAATCCCGCCTGCGCTAACGGGATACGCTGGCGGAGCACCAGTAAAGGGTGATCGATGAAAATGAGAACAGGCCAGTTAGTTCATCATGATGAATTCATCAGGAATTAACTATGATAGTTTCCAGGGGGATCCACGAGGAGATCGACCTGGTTGGGTATATTGCTAGCAATGGGATTTTTAGTCTCCATTATTAACAATCCCTTTCCCCCCAATCTCAACGATTGGTCGCTCTATGATAGCTCACTAAGTGCTTTTCACGCTACGTTTGGAGAATCAGAAATTAGAAGATAAAAGAAATTCGTCAAGGATCATTCTTCAAGAATGGATCAACTAGATCATTTATTTTCTTCGATTTGAATTCGCACATTAGACAGTCCACATGATAGAATATTGTGACGCTGTTATGCTCATGGTATCCTTCATGTTTTTTCAAGACTAAGGTAGAGGTTAGAGATTTGACGTTCATAAGCGGCTAAAATGTCCTACATGAATAAATGATTTTTGTATTTTGAATTTTTGAATTTTAGAGGGAGACTTTGTACAAAAGTCGATTGCTTGGGTACCTCTGTCCTATTCGTGTTTCAACCGTAAAGCAGTTGTGTTTGCATGGCTGTGTTTCGGTTTGAAGTGTGGATTATGGCGTGAATTTACTGGGTACAGAGGAATAACCTAAGTCCTCAAGAATGGCAACGCATGGGGGGGGGGGGTATCATGGGTGAAACAGTATACTTTGTTATACCCATGGTACTACTCATGTCTATAGGCGACGGTTACCACTTTCTATCAGGTGGGCCGTCAGCTTGTTTGCCATTGTAAGTTGTATAAAAAAAGAGGTTTTTAGAATGAAACAGCCTTACACCATAAAAATAAATAGATCTTTAACAACTTTGTCTTAAGGACATTATTACAGTGACATCACTGTCATTAGCAATGTCTTTAAACCGAAGCAGCCATGCTGTTGAGATGCCAAAGCTGTTTGTCGACAGAAATACGAGTGAGAAAACATGACAAATGACTTTGTTTAGTATATTAGTAGTTCGTTTAATACATTAATTTATTTCGTAGTATATTAATTTTCAAATTAAACATTTGAGGTATTTTTTTATAAATATTACGTGCCGATACTTCAATGATATTAAAAAAGTTACTGCTACATACAGCCCATCTGAAGGGTCACTGTAGCCTATGGACACCTGCAATACTAAAGGAGTCACGCACACATTTGACTACCTTGAAGAAACCTTGATACGCCCTTTTTAAAGAACCCCATACTGTATTCTCTAGAGAAAAAACTCAGCAGGGAGCTTATTCCAAAGGCTGAGCGTTCGTGAGAGAAATCTCTGAAACCTCTGGCTATTTTCTTACTAAATGCCAAAAAAGAAGTTCCTGGTTTAAATTCTAATAGAATGATAGTAATTATAATATTTTTCTTTCAGGGTACACGAAAGTGAAGAGTTCTAAAGTGACAAAGGACCTCTCGCAGAACGTCGAAGAGCTGGACTCGCTCCTGGACGATCTGCAGAAGGACCAGGAGAGGCAATTATATAAGAGTGCGTATTTTTTTCAATCATATTTTTAATAGTTTCTGCTTTATTCAGATACTTGTATATATTATATATTGTAGTAATATCCTAAGTAAGAAATAAACTACATTCTTTCCCACGTCAAAGTCTTCGATTCTAATTTCAAATCTTTTAAGATTAGCCAAATTAACGTTAAATTGTTTTGGCTTGTAGTTGTTTTGACTCCTTAAATATAATAGTCTTAAAAGAAGAGGATCGAATTCATTTACGCGAATAACAACCTTTTTTTTTTTGTTTAACGTGTGGATAATCTTCAGCAAGACCGTCCCATCTGCCGGAGGGAGGGCAGCTGGGGTGTGTGGGATTTGTACACACGACGTACCTCGAGGCGCTTATGTTGGATCCTGGGTTCCCGTTTGTACGACTACCGAGTAGACGTGAATAACTACCTAACTATCTACTCCTTCCACCTTCTGGGCCCATGAAATAAGTGGCTAGTATAACTTTCATCATTGTTTCAGGTGGATACACGTCCGACACAGCTGAAAGCACATCTTTCGACTACAAGCGAGGGTGAGTTTGTTATATGACTCAGAATAGTTATTGCCGCCTATAGACAGCATGAAAAGCTCTGTAGATGTCATCGAAAACATGAGAAGTACTCGTATCCCAGATGCTCAATGTACCTACCTCTCTTTTTCTTTCTTGTTATGCTTCTTTTATTTCTACTTTTTATTCGTCGCGTTCTTGAAAACTATGGTTTTTACCTACCCAGTAAATTCATTGCCAAAGCTTAACGTTTCAAACCAGAACACAGCATGCAAGCAGCTGCTTAGCGGAACAGTCTTTGGATTTCTTTAATGGATGAGGAAGGAACGCTAATTTTCAGTAAGATCAGCTCATCATGTAGACTTCAACAAGATTTCCTTTTTTCCTCTATTGCTAATCGCTTTTTTTCTATTGAAGCTATAAGAGACTGTTAAATATATTGCAGAACCCCACTGAAGGCGCCCTCTAGCGGTTACTCCACTCTACGCCATGAGGAGCGCGTGGAGTCCTCGTCGTGGGGCTCGAGTCCTCCGCCCACAGTCTCCCGGGCGGCCGAGCTACGACAGGAAATGTATCGAGAGGAGAAGACCGGTCAGTAGCCTGGAATACGTTTTAGAACATTGTCATCATGTAAACCATTGTTCAACGTCATTTCTAAGTATAGGCCTAGCCCAGATTTTCATTAAAAAACAACCTTTTTGATTGATAAAAATTAAATGATTTGCCGTTTGTCCCGGCATAGAATAATCCAACTCTTCATTTGCGGGGGGGGATTGTTAAGAATACTGAGAATCCCATTGCTAGCAATATATCCAACCTTCATTTCCCCCTAGAAACTATCATGGTCAAAAAAAAAGTCTTCATTAGCCGTAGGTGTCGACTAAGGGAGGGCAAGGGATGGGCAGCAGCGTCCTTCTTAAAACATCTCTAAAACTTTACTGCGGTTGCCAATCCGGCTGTCATGGCAACTACTGGCAAAACCTCCCCAGGGAGAGTGTGAAGAGTGTGTTCCTCAGCAGTGAACAATTAAAGGATGATGATGAAATGGTAATCCCGCCTGCGCTGCACTGATATATAACTTCACGAGTGTGTAATCTATGTAAATAAAATTGTGCAGAGTCGCGCGTGGTGCCGTCGCAAATATCGCCGGCGGTGCCTCAGATCGTCCCAGCGGCTGTGTGCTCCCACTGCCACCAGCCACCCAACACTGGCACCGTGAGTCCACCACCATCTTTACTTTTTCATTTTTTATGCATCTCAGAATGGCAAACAAGTTGACGGCTCACCTGATGGAAAGTGTTACTTCTGGAATATCGATTTATTTAATTTTCATGTCATTCACAATGCATTCTCAAAGAAGATGACTACCTATGTCCTTTGCTTCTGTCACGAAGCAGTTGTGCTTTGCAAGACTGTGTTTTGGATTGAAAGGTGGGATTTATACGGTATGGAGACATAACACAGTAGTCCTCAGGAATGGTAACGCATGAAAGGTATCATGAGTATGATAGTATATTCCCTGATGTGCATGATGCTGTTCATGTCTATAGGCGATGGTTACCAATTTCCATCAGGTGAGCAGTCAGCTTGTTTATCAAAAAATCCCAATGAAGTGAATAGCTGATGTATTATCATGAAGATGCATATGATTCTCTTCTGTATGAAGAGAGACCTGTACTCAACAGCAGGATATTAATGGCTCATATTTTTTTATACCACAAAGTTCGCAAACAAGCATACAACCCGTCTGATGGTAACGATCACTGCAGACGCCTGCAACACTAGGGGTGCCACGTGCGCATTAGCATCCCTAAAGAAACCTTAATATACCTATTTTGAAGCACCCCATACTGCAATCTCTAGGAAAACCTCGGCAGAGAGCTCATTCCATATCCCGAACGTTAGCGGGACAAAACTGCCACTGTACGTGACCATTTAGATTCCAGCGTGTATATATTATGATAAGTCGTTCATGACCATCCGTGCAGTTGTCCCGCTCCGGCACGCCGATGAACAAGGTGACGACGACGGTGAAGACGTACACGTACGAGGTGCCGGCCGGCCAGGACCCCACCACCGTGCCGCTTCCACCTCACGCCGATACCCACCACACATACGTCAGCCGCTCCGAAAACATGCGCTCGTGAGTCATTTTTTAATGGGTTACAACAGCGACAGGACCCCCTCCTGAAAGGGATTGTTAGTAATGAGATCTAATAGCCTCATTGCTAGTAACCTCCATCTCAGGTCGACCACCACGCGATTCACCCTGGAAACCATCATGGTTAATTCTTCTCTTATTCATCATAGTGGGCCAACTGACCTGCATTCATTCTCACCTATCATCTTCCACTGTTGCCTCGTCGGTGTATACCGATAGCGCGGGCTGGGTTACCATTCCATTTTCATCTATTAAAAAAAATAGCGACAAGAGAAGAATTTTTTTAGTAATGTGGACTACATGGTATTAATAGCATTAGGACTGAATTCCTAGCAATATATCCTGTTAGGTTGACCCCCATGTGGTCCCCCTTGGAAACCATCGTACTGAACTACAAGTATATTCATCACGATTGGCTAACTGACTTGCTTTCATTCTCACTTATCATCCCTCACTGGTGCCCCACCAGCGTATACCGTTAGCGCAGGCGAGGTTACTATTCCATGCTCATCCATTAAGTTTTAGTTCTACCCTGCCTATCGATTGGTATACGCCTGCGTTAGAGATGCTAGGTGAGGAAAGTGAGGTCAGTCAGCCCATCAAGAATTAACAACGATAATTTCCGGAGTGAATATCATCTATACTGTCGAAGGAGGATCATAAGGAGGTCGATTTGATCCCATTGCTAGCAATATGGGGTATATTCGTGTTTCAACCGTGAAGCAGTTGTGTTTGCATGGCTGTGTTTCATTTTGAAGGGTGGGATATGGCGTGAATTTACAAGGTACAGAGGAATAACAACTGAGTCCTCAGGAATGGCAACGCATGGGGTTGTTATGTCCATGGTACTGCTCATGTCTATAGGCGACGATTACCACTTTCCATCAGGTGGGCCGTCAGCTTGTTTGTCATTCTAAGTTGTATAATAGGGTTATTAGTCTTAAGCTAATAAGACCTTTTCCCCTACCAAGTGTAATTTGTCACAATTAAGGATATAGGGACAATCTAAATCACTCCCAGAATATTATCGCCCCACATTCACATATCTCCTTATGGCTGTTGCTGTGTGTGCGCAGGTCGGGCACCAGCACGCTGCAGCCGGCGCCGGCCCCGGCCCCGGGCGGCTGCCAGTACTGCACGCACTGCAACTCGCATATACGGGAGTACAAGCACGTCGCCACCACCGATGGTGAGTACCAGCCTCGTTCTATTCGTTACTGTGGAATATCTAATGGAATGGCCGTGTGGTCCCGGCATAGAATAGGTCACCCCTTCCTTTTCCGTGGGTGTCGTAAGAGGCGACTATGGGAGGCCGAGAGATGGACAGCAGTGTCCCTCTCAAAACATCACCAAAGTCTAAAGATCGTCTGTTTGACGTCAATCCTCATTGAGAATGCATTTGTTGGTTGTATCCGCCGTCTACGGTATGGAGAAAAGTAGAAGTGACACTCCAAGAGGGAGTAAAAGAAGCAGGTAGAAAAGGAGTTAAGAAATTATGGGAAAAAGGAGACCCTGATGACTAAAAATAATATTTTATTATCTCTTTAGAGCATACGAACGAGCGCGTGCTGTACCCGACGCCCGCCAACGAGACCAAACTGCTAACGCCGCACGAGCCGCACCCTGGACACGCACCGCATGTTAGTTGCACCCCATACCTGATTGTACCACCACCAGTAGAGGGGAGGGGATTGTTGGAAACGGAGTCTGGCGTTGCTATTGCTAAGAGTATCTATTGACACTAGATATCATGTTTAATTTTTTTTATACCACTAAGGTGGCAAACAAGCATACGCCCCATCTGATAGTAAGCAGTTACCGTACCGTAACCTGCAATACCTGGGGTAATACGCGCGGGTATAACGACCCTGAAGAGGTTTCTTCAGGGTCGGTAACGGCATTCACACTGTAATTCCTGGTGAATTCCTCACGATGGACCAACTGATCTGACACAATACGCATTTATACTCCATGAGTGCCCATAGCGTAGGTATTGCTTCTATTAAACCATTCCATTGTTTCCTATTAAAAAGCTGCACTGTCGTCAGTTGACGGCCCACCTGATAGAAAGTGAGTCCTCAGGAATGGCAACATGGGGGATATCATCGCCTATAGACATGAACAGTTACCACTTTCCATCAGGTGGGCCGTGGACATTATAAAAAAAAAAAAAAAAAAAAAAAATTGAAAGTATACTGTGAACAGTACCGTTCGACCATGATACCCTCCATGCGTTGCAATTCCTGAGGACTCAGGTGTTATTCCTCTGCATCCTGTAAATTCAATTTTCTTGATATGCCTGGTGTAACTATGCCTCGGTCTCCCTCTTCCCCTTCTTCCTTCTATCTTACCTTCTATTATAATGTTCATAAGTTCGTCGTGTCGTATCAAGTGTCCCAACATTTTCTCCCTTCTGTCCCTAAGCAGGACCTCCTCATTACTAATTCGATCTTTCCAGCTAATTTTCTCCATCCTTTCATTCCATTATTTCACTTAAGTTTCGCATGCCATACATGGGAGATATTTAAATTAATATGTTGAGTTGTTGAATAATACCAGAGGGAGACTTTGTACAAAAGTCGATTGCTTGGGTACCTCTGTCCCATTCGTGTTTCTACGGTGAAACAGTTGTGTTTGCATGGCTGTGTTTCGGTTTGAAGGGTGGGATATGGCGTGAATTTACAGGATACAGAGGAATAACATCTGAGTCCTCAGGAGTGGCAACGCATGGGGGGTATCATGGACGAAACAGTGTACTCTGTTATGTTCATGGTACTGCTCATGTCTATAGGCGACGGTTATCACTTTCCATCAGGTGGGCCGTCAGCTTGTTTGCCATTCTAAATTGCATAAAAAAAAGTTTCAATGAGACCAATAGATGCCAAATTTTTTTTTATTTAGTCTGTCTGTATGTATAAACTAAACTGTGTTAAAAAAAAAACCTATAAACCTGTATAGAGTGTGATATAAAGTCTAACAACCATAAAATCTTGATTTGTAATATTTTTTTAATTGCCAGGGTCCAACGACATACAAGTACAGCGAGACGACGTACTCGTCGCACAACTCGTCGCAGCGCTACCCGGCGCCGGCGCCGTCGCCCGGCCCCTTCCCGCGTCCCGTCACGCCCTCTGCCGGCACGCAGCAGCCGCCCAAGAAGCTGGACGACCTGCTGGCCGACTTCCCTGAAGCGGTTCGTCCAATACCTATTGCAAACTAGCTTTTGCCTGCGATTTCGTCTACATATATGTTCACTTACTGGGATAAAAAGCTCTAGGACAGGGGTCAGCAACCTTTTTAGTTGGAAAAGTCAAATATTATATTTTACAAAATTTCAAAGTTTTTAAAGAGTCACAGAAATTTTCCAATAGTATTTGGTGCCTAATCCTCAATAATTGATTCAGAACGATTGTTAATTTCTTTTTTTTTTATAAAATAATATTTTCTTATGTGAACTAAAGAACCGCAGTTTCACATCCAAAGAGCTGCTATTTGTCACGAATCGCTGGTTGCCGACACCTGCCCTAGGATTATCTTTACTGATAAAAATCAGGGAAACAATAACAAAATACTTTTAATGCACCTTTCAATACATCATCATATCAACCATTAACAGTTTCCATAAAGGGAGTGTTTGCTAGTAGTTGTCACGCTTGGCAGGCGGATTGACAACAGTAGTTAGGCATTGGAGAGGTTTTAAGAGGGACTCTGTTGCCTATTCCTCGACTGACACGGGAAAGGAATGGGCGGCCTATGTCGGGACCACACGGCGAACGTCATTTTCCATACATCAAATGTCTCATTTACCAACTTTCAATAATATCACCCTATTCGTATACAGAGATATCCCACTCAGCCGGACGGACTCGTCCGCCGTAAGGTGGAGGTGACACACGAGCGGTCTACTCAAGAGCAGAACAACACCAGCAGCGGTGCAGCCAAGCCGCTGGTCCCTGTTGGCGGCAGCAAGAACGTCGCCGGCCCCGCCGTCTACTACCCCCCTGGGCACACGCCCTTCGTGAAGAAAGAGGTCGCTGGCTACCAGGCTAATGTGAGTAACTTATTAAATATTTTTTTTAGGGTTGTATATCAAAAAGATGCAAAGAAACCCTTATGGGCTTTGTCCATCCATCTGTGGCATCCATATCTCCACAACTATAATATATATAGATATAATATGTCCAACTATTATCGTTATGTCACGATAACCACTTTATAAAATGTTGTAAAAATGTCCGCCCGTGCGAAGCCGGGACGGGCCGCTAGTTATGAATAATTAGAGATTGCCTTGTGCCCGCAGTCAATGCAGGGCGGCGGCGCGTACGCATCCGGCCGCGGCATGTACGAATACGAGGCGGGCTCGCGCTCCAAGGAGAAGCACTCCGAGAAGAAGACCGCCGTGCCCATCTGCCTGCCGCTCTGCTGCGCCATGCCCTGTGTCATCATGTAACGCCCATGGGACTACTCCATGCTAACCTACTGCTAAGTGACGGGGACTAGCCGTGGGTAATACCTATATATTTCAGTTGCAATATGTATATATTGGGCCAATAATGAATATGTAAAGTCTGTTACCCGAAACATAATATTGGATAACGAACCTTTTAACATATTCGAAAACAGAGGGCCTACCATGAAATGTTTTCCGAAATTTCGGAGCCAAACGAAACACAAATATGATGTTAAAATTACATAATACATGCCGTTTGGAAATATTAAAAATGTTAAAATATCGTTCCTTTGGACTTTTATGATAGGATGTATGACGAATGAAATGTTACACTCCATTTATTGATCCAATTTTGGTATAAACAAAAACACAAAATTGAGTCCGAAATTTCGGAATTTCACTTCATAGTAGACCCCCAGATATCCGACCGATATGGGCGATATCGAAATGGGTGATGATCATTTTTCGACATCTTTGTTCAGAGGAACCCAATATATAGATATTGGATCGGTATCCATATTGCCCATGCATAACGGGGACTGGATACCACGATAGATACCTTTAATACGATATGACGATACACAATCTACCAAGTAATACTGGAAAAAGTTTATAACAATGATCCCCTGGTGATAAAAGAACGAACAGTTATCAGGAATCTCAAACGTTTCATTGCAACATTCATTGCAACGCTCAAACGATACGATCCTATACTATTAGCGTCTTAGACCTTGACTTCCACTATGAATTTGGGTGCCCCCTTCCTTCGATGACGATCCGAAGATGTTGAGCTACAAGGGGCTCGAGCTTTTATAGGGCTTCCACTAGTGCTTTCAAGTACTCATCGATATTTTTGGGCAGGGGGAGGGGGGTTAATTCACAGCCATTTGGTAGTAAAATAATAAATACATTGAAAAATAGTCTGAAGATCTAAAAGTACCTAGGTACATATATATACAAAAGTGATTTTGCTAAAATTGATTTAGCCCAATAAAATTCTTTACTCTGATAAAATACCTTGATTATTGTTAATACAGTTAAATCCACCCGCTTCAAGTTTTTCATACTATATGCTATATAAAAAAAAATATTGCTCATTTCATATAAAAAAATCTCAGAGACCAAGAGTCAGGGAACTACATATATCTTAAACCGCTGGATATCGTTACGATAACTCATAGGGTCTATGAAATGATGGCTTAAGGCAGGGGAAAGCACAAAAGATCCCGATGGGTCGACGTGCAACGGCTTAGCTGACCCCATATCCGAATATAAGATATAAAAATATTGTATCTATTAATTTACCTATATGGTTTCCAGGCCCCATAACTAATTACATAAGTAAATATCAAGTGTTTTCGGTATAAAACAGGCGTACCACCTGAATACGCGATATGTGATATTAGATGAGATCAGAAATAGCACCAGTTTTTTTAATTTTCCATAAGAAATTGTCGCTTGTCCATATTTCAAGGATGTCTACAGGGTTATTAGACAGAATATATTATATTAATAATAGGTAATTTTTTAATACTCTATAAATATGAAATTATACAAAACACATGGCGAGAGGGCGCCACGTGATTTTAATTCTAATATATTCTGATAATTATAATTTTATTTTTTGTATAATGCATTGTCTAAAATTATTTTCCTGGGGAATGGAGACGAGGGGGGGAGGAGCTGGCGCCTTTAAACATGCACAGTATGTACATGTCTTTGGGCATAGTTGAAACTCATCTCGCATTCTGTGATGGGCATAAAACAATACTAGGGTGGGCATGCCCTTCATGGCCAACCACTTAAATATGCCTACGCTATTGGGTTCTAAGTAGATAAATTTACTGCAAAATATAAATGTTTTAACTCAGGGCCGTAGCTAGACCCAAGTTTTAAGGTAGAGTAAAATAACTTTTTGGTAGGGCAGAAGCCATAATTTAGTGACTTTGAAAAAGAGAATCTGTCAAATTTTCTTGGGGCCTTTTATTTTAAGATAGGGCATTGGGATTTTTAAGGTAGGACACTGCCTCACAATACCCCCCCCCCCCTGTTACGGCCATGTTTTAGATATATCTGATATCATCTAATACAACATCGCATCGTTTACAAGAATCTCAATACTTCTTAAAGAGACAGTAGAGAGCGAGAGCTTGAAAATTTATATAAATTTAGATAGGTTAACTAATTTTTGTATATAAATTTTCGGATCCGGGTTTTAAAAGGACCATTTTTGCTAATTCATATAACGATCATATAAAAATGATTAGCATAAAGTGGTTATTTTAATCTCCTGGATCGTACCTTAAGATGTTCGCTGCCTGATATCTCATAATACAGGGTACCTATCCTGGTTTGGGAATCAAGCATAAGGGAAATATTATTTGATAAAAAAAACTTATAAACATTAGAAATATACTTAATTTCTCTTATAGAAGTCTCCAAACCTACTAAAAAACTCGGTAACTGTGATTTGTCATAATAATTTTAACTATATTCAAGCGTAAATCCCTCGCGGGGTAGACAGATGACTGGATGCCAAAGGCCTCTATCCTTGTATATCTTGGTTTTCATACCTCATGCAATACGATAGTTTTGGAGACTATCAAATAATAATCTTTATATACTTAATATTCATAATTTTTAGATATTTAATATTTATATCCATATTACTTGCAAATATTTTAAATACACTATAAGGACTTGACGCAATGAAAAATTTTGCAGGTAAATACTACCAACATACCTGCTTCTTTATTGGCGACGTTTCAACGTAAATTGCACCACGTCGTGGGTAATAATACCACGTCATCGTGCCTTAAATCCCGATAACGTATTTAAAATATGTGTAAAGTTTAAAATTAACTACTTGCAAATAATTATAATTTATAAAGAATCTCAAATTTGATATTATAAGTGTAACGTGAGGTAACATGTTCACAATTTGTCCATTTTTGTAATGCAACTAACAATGTGCCATTATTGTTATATAAATACAAGTGAGAGCGGCTCCTTCATATCTTGTATAGAGTTATTGCAATTTTATCATTAATAAATTATATTAACTGATGGCTCGCCTTTTATTTTACAAATCCTGACATACCTACATATTACTACTTACATGAGAGAGTATCGCCCTCTAGTGTCAAGGTAGTCTAGTTCCTACATTGTACACTAAGGGTTATATTTTATTTGTATACACATTGCCACCACAAGCAGAAGGACTACAACACGCCGATACACAATAAGATCATATTTCAGCCTGTCTACTGCTGAACATAGATCACCCCCCCAAGGGGGAAGCGTTTACTTTGCATAATCATTCATGTTAGAAATATTTTTAAAAAAATTGACAGTGTGTTGTTACACCTTTAGGTACATTGTTAACCTTCGGTATAAAGCACGAAAGGATATTTACATAAATGAAACAGGGTATCGTAATAAAAACACATATATTTTGCTTTATTTTACCAAAATTTTGGATCAAGTCCAAGAAGGCAGTCTGCGGGTTACATAACCGTCACTCTAGACTATACAAGCTCCTCGCCCGGACTAACCCGCGCTTACGCTTAAGGCCTTTTGGTTCTGTGCCCCGTTCAGTGGATCTGTCGTTTATTGACAAAACAATATAGTAATATAGATACATTTACAAATGGCAAAGAGAGAGAGAGAGCAACTGCGCTTGAAAACAATAAAACTAAAATTAGTTAACTGATTTTCAACTTTAACATCTTAGAAACAAGGCATTATTCGGCTCGCATCAATTATTCAGACAATGTATCAAAGCAGTAACAAATTATACATTACACATGAAATAAAAATGTCAGAATTAATGCAAGAGATAATAATGGAACAAATTGGAATTGAAAATATTTATCCCATATGCCTAGATATAACCACACCTAATATTTATAATTATTCATATTCTATAAACATGTATTATATAAAAAAAAAAATAACGAAAATTAATGTCTTTTTTAACTTTAATTAAACATAGCTAAATACCAAACCAAATAAACCAGCCTCCAAAAGAAATGCATTGAAATACATACATTCGTTTGGAACAATTATGTAAAATATATCTGTCCTTTGTAACATCCATACATACACATATATACATAGCAAGGCTTCAAAGACATCCAGGCTTTTTTCCATCCAATAAAAAATATTGTTTTGTTACACAAAGACTGTATAAAAAGATTTTTTTATATAAATGTGATATCGTTGTTAAATTCGTCTTAATTTCAAGTGTTTTACGCTGCCTACATATAATTAAAAATAAATACGACGCCCATATACTGTGAAAACTATCCAAAAAAAAAAAAAAAAACTTTAGCTCAGATCTGTTAGAAGTTAGGATTTTGTGACAATCCACGTGTTCAATTCCATTTGTTTCAATATCTCTCATACATTTGTTCTTTTGCAACTTCTGAAAAATACATCACAACCATTTCATATCGTATACAAAGCTACGTTTAGAAATACTGCGCCACACATAAATGCCCAGATTCTAAAACATAACAATAAAAAAAAAAAACATCACTGTTACATTTATCACGTGATGTGTTAACTCTTATTTCAAAACGCATAACAAATTGTCATTATTAATTATACATTTTTACTTATTGTACACATATACAACTACAGTGATATGATTTTCTAAACGTAGATATTTTAAATTATAAAAAAAAATGGAAGCAAATCGAATTATGTCACTTTAGAGTATTCAATACAATACTTATGTCACTTTAGAGTATTCAACGCGACAAACGCAATGTATTATTCCATTTTACTGTTTAAATATTTCCTTAAAACACATAATATTTTAATGTAAAAACTACCGGTTTAACTTACATGAAATTAGATGATAATAAAGCTCGAACTTGTGTCACAGCCGCTTATGACTAAGGATCACAAAATGAGTCCGAAACTAGTTGAGATTTTTGGATCTAGTTTGAGAGTTAAAGCGGCAGTTATTACATTAAAATATTATTCCTTTTGGTTGCAGTGGGAAGGAAGAAAAAAAACTGAAGTGGAAATGGACCGATATACAGTGTATGTTAAATAACAGAAAGCATTCCTTAAAATTGGTTTATTTATTCAAAAATATGGCCTCAATTTTTTTATCTTAGAAAATAATACAGATGTAGGTTGTTTATTTTTTCCAGATTTGTTTCTTTTTTTTGTATATTTTTTTCTAAGATTTTTTATATCCTATTAATGAATACTAACACCAGTTTTAAAGAATGGATTACGTTAGTTAACATACTGTATATAAAATTTATTTTGAAAATTTGAACTAAACATGTCATACGTGACTGATAAACACACTCACCGAACACCGTGACACGGTGAAGGATTTGGGACTCAGACTAGAGCCATATGAACATGTAAAGGGTAGACATTTACACAGAAGTGGGACAAAAAAAAACAGCTTCAAACATTGACTTAATCAAGGAATATCATGCCTTGGTATATCAACCAATCATAGGCATGGTTCGAATTGTAGTGTATTTTATCGTTGAATACTCTAAAGGAATTAATAAATTTATAAATAATTAAATTGTTGAAAGAATCAACTAGCATTGTTTTATACTATTGTATAATTTTTCGGTCCTATCATTTTCTACTTATATATATATAATCGAATCACTCACATTTCAATAACAAAATATGTATTAAAAATTTACTTTGACCAGAAAAACATATTTTAACAATAGCATTAGACTTTTATTATTATTATTTCAGACTCTTGATTTATAAATGTGAAAAATAAAGGGATATTACAGATTTGTTCAATCGACATTAGAGCAAATCAATTATATGGTATTTTTTCTCATTTATCACACCATTGTAAGGAGTGTGAATAAATCATTCCATTGATATAACCATGTACAATAAGTATTAACAAAATGTGCATTTATATATATATGTCTATTCAATTAATTATTTATCTATATAATTGTACAATATTAAAAATGATACATGGAGAAAAAAAAACCATTTGGTAGATCGATTGAACAATAAAATTGAACAATAATAACTCGGGTGTTTAATATTTACAAAGACGCTAGGCAGTCTACAAGTTTAGTGGTTTCACCACCGCAAACAATGAACAAATAATCAATCATACAAAAGAAACAATAACTTAATTGACAAATGGAAAGGATTTTTGTATTATTTCTTTGCGCATTTTGATATTCTTTGGATATGTTCGATTAAAGGGGCAAAACATTTATTTATGTAATTACAGAATTTATATTTATTATTTAAATACAAAAGCTAAGAAATATGAAATCAACTTAATACTTATAAATATTTACACATTAAAACATGTTTAACGATTTTGCAGTTAATCATCTAACAAAATGGATACAGACATCATGAAAATAGTTAATTATTCACAATATATACAACGATTCTTTCAATTTATCTAATATGACAAAACCTTTAAACATTTTTAATGTATAAATTCCATTCGATTGCAATTACACCTCTTTATTAAACAAGGTCTAATGTTTTTTTCTTTCTTTTCTACTTGGCATATTTTAATAATAAATGTTGGCATATTTTTTCTTTATAGAAATAAGTGTATACACTGAATAAATAGCTAGAATAGTAATATTTCTTTGATATTTTTTGTTTAACTTATTTTTAAGGTCGGCAACGTGACACCCCTAGTGTTGCATGCGTCCATAGACTAGTGACCGTTTACTATCCTACGGACTGTATACTAATTTTCCACCTCTGCGGTATAAAAAAAAAATTAAAAAAATATGCCCAATTGTTTACTAAATATGCCTAATAAAAAAAAAAGTTAATAGTATGGGGTATACAGACCCAAATCTCAGTGACGTAGGATATATTCATGAAACTAAACATCTTTCCTTAACATGTTAGAAATATGATTTTTTTACTTTTTATATTAAATCAGTCGTAACAACGCGATTAGTATGTACATCTTGAAAAGTGTTTTGTGAGAAAATGCAAAAAATTATATATTTTAATAATGGGGTACAGTAATGTAATTTACAAGTGCAATAAAAAATATATGTCTCCCCCATCCGATCCCATAGACCAATATACCCTGTTAGGTCGGCCTCCACGCGGTTCTCTATGATTAATTCCATTTACCAGAGGGAGACTTTGTACAAAAATAATTTGCTTAGGAAACCTCTGTCCTATTCGTGTTTTTATCGTGACGCAGTTGTTTGCATGGCTGTGTTTCTGTTTGAAGGGATATGGCAATGAATTTACAGGGTACAATGGCATAACATCTTAGTCCTCAGAAATGTCAACGCATGAGCGAAACAGTATACTCTGTTATGTCCATGGTACTGTTCATGTCTATAGGCGACAGTTACCACTTTCCATCAGATGGGCCGTTAGCTTGTTTGCCATTTTAAATTGTATTTAAAAAAATAGGTACTCACTGGCACCCCGCCAGCGTAAACCTACTAGCTAGTTGGAATTCTATTATAATTCATTCAAATAAGTTTTTTTAATTTATTGCACTTGTAAAGTAAACATTGTTAATGCATTTATAAATATTGTGTGCAAGGGTGGCCTTATCTCTGACAGAGAGAGATCTCTTCCAGTCAACCCAATACATTTGGAAAGCATGTTTTTCACTATCAGAATGGTAACAAAATCATTTTAATGTATGGAAAGGTTCAGTGTCATGAATTTTCGTGATTTGCTAGTTTTACAAAATGATATAGTGGCACTAAAACGATTGGCACATACAGACAGACCCACCGACTCGGCGCGGCCGCGGTCCGCAGGGCGGCGGCAGTGCTACGGGCCAAATGGGCCAGAGGACAGTAACAGCGGTCGCCACCTACGAACCGCAGCATCGATTCACAACTTCACTTGCAATTTTAACAACTTCAACAAACGACATTGCAACCCATGAGATCGGATTTTTATTGACACACTGTGTTTATATATAAATTTATCCTGTCAGGATGTTTGTTGAGCCTAATTTCCGAAAACGATTAGCCAAATTTCATGATAGGTTAGTTTTTATTGCGAATAAGAAAAAAATTGACGACATAGTAAGCGGAAGGAGCAGAAACAATGTTTGTTAGTTAAACTAGTATTTTTAAACTTTGACATTACAATAGGAAAAAGTGGTAAGAACTTATTCGGAAGGAAGTTTCATCCAAATTAATAGAAAATGTATAATATCGCATTATATTAGCAAAATACCTAATAACATAGACAATTACAAACCGACAGTGATAATTCTATTTACAATAGATAATGTTTTATCCCATTTTTTGGAGCAACATCTATTTGCTGTAAGAAATTTCCGTGTGTAGTATGTTCATAATATTCATATTTATTGAATATAAAGTAATAAAGTAAAAATATGGAAATTAATACATAATATTATAGCTGTTGTTAATATCTGTAACATTTTGTATTATTGTCTATGGACATAATTTTGTCCAAAAGTGGACAAATGTTACAATGAGATTATTTATGACACAATTATATTTTATAATTAATCTATGGAATAATTTGCTAAAAAAATAATAATTGACACTCATATAACTAACAACTTTAGTTAATAAATATTTTTAAGATAAATATTGTCTATGCCGACCTCAGGGATTGCAAATGGCGTCCATCAACAATATTTTATAATGAATATAATAATCATTATTTTTTTTTTTCATTACGAAACGATCATAATTTCATATGGTCATTTTGTAATCAGACACATCTAGATATAGTATATGTCACAAACACTATAAAAAACTGCAGATTTTTTTAATTCCTGTATTTTTAAATTTCTATTAAGACAATGCTTAAATTTTATTTCATTTGTTAGTATGCGTGAATAGGAATAACCAAAACATTAGTTTTTAATGGCAACACAGAAAAATGGCGCGCTTTTAGTTAAAAAAAAATTCAGTATGTTTTATGACACTTGATAATCTATCTAGATGTATCATGATCAATATTTTGGACATATGTTGCAAGTTTTTTATTGATATTTGATTCAATTATATAGCAATATATATATGTATAATATACAATTGGAACTCCTATTATTAATTAGCTAATTTCTTCCATCTCATAAATCACAATCGGTAACAAGGATCAATATGAACATTTTGGAGATTTTTTTTTTAATTTTTATTTGGAATATTATACAAATAAAGGTGGATTTGAGTTGAAATATATGTAGTGAGTAACAGAAGGCAATGCCGTATCATCAGCTTCAATAGACGGAATGTAGCCAACAATAGAACAATAGCTAAATTAGGCCATTTCCTGATTTATTGGTATGGTATTGTTTTCTTGTATGGTCCCAGCATAGAATAGATTACCCCTTCCTTTCCCGCGGGTGTCGTAAGAGTCGACTAAGGGAGAGCGAGGGATGGGCAGCAGCGGCCCTCTTAAAAAACATCCAAAGCCAAAGTGCGCTTGCAAATCTGCCTGCCAAGTGTGGCAACTATTGGCATAACTCTGCTACAGTTATAAACTGATATGATATAATGATAATTATTTACTGAGGGATCACTGTTAAATATAACACACTTGCTTTAAACCTCAACTTTGGTCAGATCACATTATTTTATATTTGATAACATTATTATTTTCTATTTGCGGATTATTAACATATTGACAAATCCATTTTGTTTTTTAGATTAATGTCAGGATGTATATTTGTTTTATATTTTTTTTATTGCACGTTTCTTAGCAAACTGTCATTTTTTTAAGTATATACTGGCCCACTATTCTCAATAAGTATCATATTTAAGAAAATCATTTTATTCAAAATATCACCAGAAAGGACAAGTTTCAAGAATGTATAGTTTGGACTCAGTCAATGTACACTATATAAAAAAAAGCCAAACCCAAACATACAAATTTAATGTACCTCTTTTTATATTTATTTTATTTTCTGGCACAAAATAAATTCGTAACAAATGTGAATCATATAAGTTCAATAATAAGTTCACAATAGTTAATTTACTCCATTATTTATGGTGTAAAATGATACCATACCAAAAAGTCAGAAAAAGGCCTTGTCAGCTAGTGTCATTTCCTAGTATGCATTAGAGATCTAATTATCTTCCGAGTCCTATAATTTCGTAACGCTGGTGTCAACACAGACGGAGTTGAGCAACTTGGTACAAAACAGTCATTTGCTAATTGGATTTAAATTCATATAATCAGTTTGTGTTTTAATTACAACAACCATAGACAAATTATGAATATTGTTAATGGTGTTGGCGAATTGCTACAACAGTTCCGAACATAATTACCATAATAATATCAGTGGATTTTTTTTATTTATATCACTTTATTCACAAATGTCACCATCTGGTGAAGCTCATGCGTCGGCGGCACCCGCGAATACAACGTCACACAATCACTTCAATATAAGCTTAATATCACAACTGGCGTGAGACGATCCACCGCGTACAAAATTTGTTTCCTCCTACAGCGATACAAAATAAATATATGACTAAAACACATCAGTTGACACTCCACTATACTATACGACAAGTAAATCGTTTCAAAATCATCAAGTCGGACCTGTCGCACTCCACACGCGGTCGCCTCGTGTACACACGCGGCCACTCGCACACACCGAACGTCCGCCGCCGCTGCGTACGACGGGCTGCGCTTATATCTAACGTAAGGACACTTGGGTCGCGGCGCGGCGCGCGGCTTTGGCACTCGGGGGGTGGCGGGGGTGGGGCGGCGGGGCGGCGGCGGGGCGGGCGTCAGTCGATCACCACGTACGGCAGCGCCACCAGGTCGCCCAGCTGCGCGCACTCGTGCCACTCGGCGAACAGCGGCGGCCGCGGCGGCCGGCCCAGCTCGTCGCGCCGCGTGTCCTGTGCCGCCCGCGCCAGCGCCGCGGCCAGCGCGTCGGCGGCGTCGGGCCCGGCGGTCGGCAGCGCCAGCACGGGCGCCGCCGCCAGCTGCGCGTAGTCGTAGCGCACGGCGGCGCGGGCCCGCGCGGCCGCCGCCACCAGCCCGCGCCCGTCCGGCGCCGGCTCCGCTCTCGTGCGCTCCACGGTGCGGTGCTCGGGCGTGTCGGCCGCGGCCCGCGGCTCGTCCGCGCCCGCGCCCGCGCCCGCGCCCGCGCCCGCGCCCGCGCCCGCCGGCGGTTTCAGTCTGTCGCTCGGCTCGGGCGCGCCGTCGTCGTCGTCGTGGAGCGGGTAGGGCCGCAGCGGCGGCGGCGAGGGCGGCGGCGGCGCGAACTCCGTCCAGGGCAGGTGGGAGCAGAGCGGCACGCGGTCCATGTTCTTGGCGCAGTAGTCGTCCGCGTAGTCGGAGTAGTTGTAGAGCGGCACGACGCTGGCGAAGAGGCCGGCGCGCCGCGGGCAGGCGGCGGGCCGCACGGCGTAGCGGTGCGGCAGCGGCGGCGCGCGCGTGCCGTTGACCCCGGGCAGCAGCGCGTGGTGCAGCGCGCGCACGTGCAGCGGCCGCACGCCGCCGCCCGCCGCCGCCGCCGGGCACGCGGCGTCGGCCAGCTCGGTGCCGCACGTGCACTCCACGTACTCGCGCTCGTCCTCGAGCGGCGGCAGCGGCGACGCGGCCACCGCCGGCGACGGCGCCCGCGGCTCGCTGCCTCCATTGCGGAGGGGAGACTCCACTTTCACAGTACACACTGGAAAAAAAAATAGAATTACATTAGATATCTTCACCGCTACCCCACTATGATTACATCGTCACCCGCGTACGACACCGCTGAGTATTACGTATGTATCCACACGGCCAACACTTCATAATAACGCTGCGGTCCTTGCTCCGTCACAACTACAAAAACAATTAACCTCAATACAGATGACAATGTGTACGTGTGTAGTTACTATTAGCGCGAGAAAATTGTTTGGGTGTTGTTGCGTGTTTGAGAGGGGATGAGGTCTGATGGCAGCGAGCGGGCAAGGAGTACTGTACTTTAGTAGATAGATAGATATATCGTTTATTTGGATGTTACTAATCACACACATGTTTATAAGAATAGATAATACATAAAACAACATAAGATTTATAAAATTGTGTTATTATGTGTGATCTGCAGCAATACAAAAAGGTGCGAAGCTCAGCGTGGAACATTGTTCAAGGAACAAAACACTGATTTTCAGCTTTAACCCATTTGAGTTTTGACCCATTAAGTACTAGTACTTATACTGTAATTATATATGAAAGTAATTATCAACTTACCCTCGGGCTCTATAAGCATCACGTCGGGAGAAGCGGGCGAGCCGGGTGGCGATGGGGACGCGGCCGGCTTGCCGCCTTTCCGCGATTGGATCTCCTCTAAGAGTTCCTTAGTAGTCTTAACCTGGAATACATTAAAAAAAAAAACATTTATGATATAAAAATTATTGTATTTCAAACTTATTCACGACCAATTTAAATTAATGGATCCGATGACTCAACTGACAATAAAACTTTAACGAACTCAACTCCGAGGCAGTAACTTTAGATGCCCCTGATGCGGTCCCATGCAAAACCGCAAACATACTTTTGTCAATTAAAACGAATTATCAAATGCAAGGCAACCACACGGTAAGTTAGTGATAAATCTACTGACTTGGAAATAAATCTATTTAGATTATTACAAAATTAATAATAACTAATAGTTCTTCAAGTATATTAATTACGTCATATTGGATTGCAACAGAACTGCTGGTACGATCCCTCCACTGGGAGCCGTATACCCACTTTCTTAGCGCCGGCGGGCGGCATCCTATGAACTAGCGCAGCGTAGGGGTCGACGGCATTCCTCCGGTAGCCGTTCCGCCGCCGGTCCGAGTGCGCGGAGCCGTTGCGTGCCCCCCAGGCGGCGGCGGGCGGCTGGTGCGCGGCCGGGGCCAGGGGGGCGTGGGGGGCTAGGGGGGCGGCGGGGGCGTGGGGCGCGAGGGGGGCGGCCGGGGGCAGCGGCGCCGGCGCCGGCTCGGCCCCGCCGGCGCCCGCCGCCGCTTCCGCGCCCGACCCTGCACGACTGTAGCCCCTGTGCACAAAAATGGCTACTCTAACAACAGTTTTACATAAAAACACCGACTACTTTAGGGCATAGGGGGAAAGGAATTGTTAATAATGGGGATTAGCAATAAACCCTATCAGGTCGACCTCCTCGCGGTTCTTCCTAGAAACTGTCGTGATTGATTCATTAGTGAATTTGTCACGATGGACTAATTGACCTTCTTCATCTTCCCCTCTTATCCCTCATTGGTACCTTACCAGTGTATACATACCATTTCATTATCACCCATTTAAAAAAAAAACTAAGGCATAGTGATATGAAGTGTTATAATTGCCATATGTATTGTGTCTATATGTCTGTCTACATACATTTATTAACACAAAAATACATACATATTATACGTGTTTGAAATTAGTAATCGCTCATTTAGCTACTATTATAGTACTTTATAATAAAAGCTATGGGGGGGGGGGGGTATTATGGCTACACATTACAATATATCACACTAGCGATCCGGCCCGGCTTTGCACGAATAGATAGAATTTTGAAAAAAATAATATACTTGCTGACAATGTCACTTTCTACAGGTTTTTTCTTTTTTTTTTTATGCAACCTAGAATGGCAAACAAGCTGACGGCCCACCTGATGGAAAGTGGTAACCGTCAACTATATGTATACATGAACATATAGAATTTTGAAAATCAGTTGAATAGTTAAATTTATTCATACCAAACAAATAAATCTCTCATCTTTATAACACTAGTAAAGACAAAGCATTTGCTTACGGTCCTAAGAATGATTGCAAATTAAAAAAAAAAATGCGAGAAATTAACAAAAATAAATCTAACAAAAAGTGACCGTTTATCATTAGATAGGCTGTATGCTGTTTGCCATTTTTGTGGTAAAAAAAAAAAACATAAAAAAAATCAAATGTTTTGGCATCTATGGGGAGTATCATGGGCGAAACAGTACACTCTGTTATGTCCATGGTACTGCTCATGTCTATAGGCGACGGTTACCACTTTCCATCAGGTGGGCCGTCAGCTTGTTTGTCATTCTAAGTTGTATAAAAAAAAAAAAGAAAAAACCTGTAGAAAGTTAGTAGATCTATTGGTAGGAAAGGTAGTAGTAGTAGGAAAGGTAGTAGATCTATTGGTCATAAACCATATGTAAATATATTACACTCTGTTATTATATTTATATTACACATTAATTTTTCAAAAATATCCCCCAAGTACAAACATAGTCCAGTTACCATTTTATTAGTAAAAATATAGTTCTGACTCACCTTCTTTTCTTGGGTTTTTTGTCTCGTTTCGCTTTCTTTTCATCGTGTGGATTCGCCGGCGATAGTGTCCTTTTTACAGCTGCAACATTTAATATTTGTAACATTACAGAAAACTGGAAACTGGATCACGTTCACTTTATATGAAAAACACAATAAAAAAAAACTCGTAAGCACTCAATTTTTTTCTCACGTGTTATTCCTCTGTACCCTGTAAATTCACTGCCATATCCCACCTTTCAAACCGAAACACAGCCATGCGAACACAACTGCTTCACGGTTGAAACACGAACGGGACAGAGGTGCCCAAGAAAACGAATTTTGTACAGTCTCCCTCTGGCAAAAGGAACATAATATAAGAAACACAATAAAAAAGACGTGAGCGAGAGAGATGCACACAAATTTATTTACTAAATATTGCTGATTGCCAGTAAAAGATCTTAAAAATAATTACGTATATTCACCTATACTTAAACCCAAACGTTCTTTTTACAATAACTAAAATAATACACTGGTCATGTGAGTGTTTACTGTCCACTGCTGACCATAGCCTGCCCCATAAGGAGGGGCTTTGCCAGTAGTTGTCACGCATGGCAGGTGGGTTGGCAAGCTGTGATGGTCCCCCCCTTTGTGCCCCTTATAATTACTACCCTCTTAACTAACCTACACATGGAAAACCTACAAAGCCTAAGAAAAGCCTACGAAGGCTTTACCTAATGAAATCTATGAAAATATACCCTAAAGAATGGCCTAACACCCTCAATATAACCCCATACCTATATTGTCTTATACACCACAAACATCTTATGAATCATAAAACCCTTACAATAAACACATAATATTGAACAGATCTTATAGTAGAACACTTGATCATCTGGCCAGATAAATAAATGTGTGATCGTCTAGTAATGTAGGACCCGTTGTGTGTGTAATAACCAAAAGGTTCTTTAATTGGTATATGATAGGAGTTAAATAATGAAGATGATTGATAAATCTTTAAGGATTAAGAATAATTAATGAATTATACTCATAATTCATGTAACAAGGAAGTTATGTTAATTTAATAGTAAATTATAGAATAACTGTAATAATCAAAAAAAATGGGGGAGCGGTCGGGCCCCTCACACGCCCGGACCAGTGGAAGACTTTCCAACTATCTATAACTCTTCCTCCTAAAAGGTAGGGAAGGGTATTACTATTTATTAATGCACTCTGATGGTAATAAGGGCATGAGTATTCTCAGTTCCAAACCAAACATAAGTACATTTACTTCAACATTACAGTGGCGATGCTTCCAGTATAAATGGGTGTTTGCCAGAGGCAAAAGGATCGGAACTGAAATCCCAGGATCACTCCGACACGAGAGCTTACTCATGGGCGATGACCCTTTCAGTCCTATATGGCGACATAGAGATCACCCACTAACAGTACGAAACTGTTTCCCAGCGTCACCCTGTTACGAGCTTACTCAATGGGGTTTCCCTTCGGCTCCACAAGAGATCAGACCAAGAAGCGAGATCACCCAGACACCAGAACCTACTTTGATGGGACATAACCCTTCGGCCCTATAATGTGACATTAGAGATCACCTGTGAAGACAGTCCGATAGAGATGAAGATTTGTGTGATAGGGGATACCTTCCACACCCTGGAATTGGCCAAGCCATATAATGTTGATAATTGCTATATCATAACATAGCATTGTCAATTTAATATTATTTACTTAATACCAAGAATACTCAAGGTTCAAGTTACATCTGTTGATTAGGCCAGAGCCTAAGAACGAGTAGTCCAACCCATAGGTCGAGAGCTACTAAAAGTAATGAGTGCTATTGAATGAACTATAAGTCCAGTCAATTATATATAATATTATAGTTGATTAACCACATTGTGAATTAACCAATTATTTATTCAGAGAGATATATCTAAAGGAACTATAAGTCCTTTAAAAGACACTGATTAATCACAAGTTAACAACGTCTCGTGAAATAACCAGTTGGGTTTTCTATAAGTTTGAGGACACTAAGTCCAACAAGCTATTATTGTGTTGAGAGTAATAGAGATCTTTTGTAATATTTGTAGAGGTTTGATTAATCACATTGTGAAATAATCAGATTAAATAATTATGTAGCTTTATAGAGAGGACTATAAGTCCTAATTGGTTGTTGTCATAAGTACTGATAAATTACACATTAAAGTGCCAGGTCAATTATTATATATAGGTATATAGGAAGGACAATAAGTCCTATTTGTGTATGTTGTAGTAGTAGAGGTAATATATTGCATAATTATAATGTGAAAGATATAGATTAAATATATATTTGTATAGAAAGGACAGTAAGTCCCATACAATTATTGTAGCTGTACTATAGTTATACTATATCTACTTCCTTTTAGTGTCTTAGTAAAACCTATTTATTAAGAGGATTTCTCAGATAAACAAGTTTTAAATCATCATGATTAATTCCCTAAGAAATTAGGTCTTTAAATAATTATCATATCATTTAAGTATGTTTTCTCATATAAATAATTCTAATATTTCCCCTACAGTTATTATAAAATAACAGAAAATTATATAAATTTTTCTATAGACTTAGATATAGAATCATAACGTGTATCACCTCCCTTTTGTTTGACATCTGTCACATTAATGACGTATTGAATGACGTATTGATGTATTGAATTGAATTTTGATTATCTATCACAACTGTCAACGTAACAAATACTAGCAAGTTTGTTTATTTGTATTTGTTTAATATAATTAAATATAAAATCATCATATATCAACCGTAATATATAACTAAATTATCAGTGACACAAATAATCATGGTTTACACCAGAAATAATTAATAGTATCCAGTAATGCTGCAGTTTTATATTCATATCAGTAGCCAAGCTTACTTTCAAATTCAAGAATGAACAGAAGATTAGAAGTTTATCATTCTTATTGCAATTGTACTTGCAATAATATATACATACAGTACTAATTATCAAGAACATTCCTCAAATACATGTGTGGTGAAGATTTTCCCAATATGCTATCTATTTGATTCCTAACCTCTAATGTAAATTTATTAAAGAAGTAAATAATCAGTGTTAGTGTTTGCTTTATTAATATTTAAAGTAATTGTCCTAACTTGATATTAATAGGATAATATCTCCTTGGATACAGTCCGACATAAACATATAACTCAATAATTAAATTTATAAAATACTAATATTATATTTTACTACTTGTATATCTCCATACTATTCCCATAAAATATTCAAAACATGTATATTAAATATAAATCCAGTAAATATTCACTAATATTAACCCTGTCTGAACTTGTCTAGTCAATATAACATGAACAAACAACACACATACAAAACTTATCGCCAGGACAACTTCCTTTCTAAATATGAGTAAAATACATAGCTTCACAAGTGTCATACAGTACCAATTTTATACTGAACCTCATATCTAGTTAAGAGTAACTATAGTCAGAGAATCTTTTAGTACTTTTATTACCATTAGGAAATAAATCCACACCTATAATATCAGCATAATTAAATATTATTAGTAATCAGTAATACACACAGAATTGTTATTATCAGCTTGCTTACTACAACAAAATCAATATTAAAGTTTATAATAAATCAAGACAAAATATCTATTTAAACAATACAGGCTTGTTTACCATAAACACCCCACAGTCACATGAATTTATTTAGTAACACAATTAATAATGTATTAAAAGTATTACATTCACATAATATCACTTGCAACAGTTAAGCTGTCTCTTTGTACATCTGGTGTAAAACAAATCCCCACATGTAGTCATGGATAATCAAATATAGACTAAGAATCATTAATCTGGTCGACCGAGTAATGGTATAAAACACTTCACCATGAAGCGTTAAGTATGAACAGATATTCCAAACCAACACTGTAATAGTGTAATAAATACAAATATTTCATCATCATCATCGTCTCAACCATCACCAACCCACGACTGAACACAGGCAATTTCCACCGACTGACACAAGGAACGGCCCCACAATACACATAAAACAGTCACTCCAAACAATGGAGGTAGCCCACACCACATTTGCATTTACAGAGTCGTCACTCAATAACCCCTCTCTCTCATCAATGGTTGTTTCCCTAGCAATGAGACCAGACCATAGTCACTTTAGTCTATTATCCTCAATAAATAAATACTTTATAATAACTAGATATGAAACTAGTTAATATTATAATAGGTTAATAGCTGATTTAATAAATATTTTCCAAAACTGGACAATTAGAACATTGAATCAAATTGATGAAGTTCTATCAAACGACCATATAATTGGATTTTGTATATGAGTAGAATAACGTAAGTACGTAAATTATATTGATGTAAAATTTGTTCAAATGTGATTGCATTTAACGATATACGCATTACCTAAAGGTATATGGACTCGACTAAATACGTATTTTAATAGTTGTTGGGAAAAATATTAAGTATAGACTTTGCCTGTGATCACAGTCAAAAATCTAACTACGTAGTAATAAATGGAACAAGCTCACCGGATTCTCCAGTCTTCTATTGATTAATTTCACACACTTAATCCATAGTGATACACTAAGATTTCAAACTCCTTCATCGAACCAGTCCCTCCTAGATCTATATCCTAGTTATTTTTTTATTTTATTGCGCAGTTCCTTAAAACACCACTCCCGTGCCATTTTTTTTTTCTCCTCCCTTTTTTATTGCGCAATTCCTAAAAAGCCACTCTCGCGCGCCCGCCGATCTGCCGTCCCTCTTTTTTTCTTTTTTTTTTTTTTTTTATTCTTTTTCTAATAACGTCATAGATTATGTCACCGAAGGGTAGATATTTCAATAATCAGATTTAGCCTATTATTCGAACTGAACTTTTCTTTAAATTCAATTTAATTATATGTTAACGTATTTTGGTATTTTATATTAAATTGATTATCGAATTTATAAAACTTTAAAGACTCTCATAAACCTTATTAAACTGTGTTGTATGTATCTTTTTTACACCTGATGATAAAAAGGTAAACTATAATTTGGTTATATATAAAATATAATATATTTTTGTTTAATTTATTTAATTTTCTTGTGACATCCACTACACTTTGGAAACACATCAAAGGAGTTTCCCTTCTGTGTCAATATTTCATATATGGTAACGTCTTCTCTGTACGCTATTGTGAACCTTGACTTTAAAGTTTGTTTATATTAAATAGCTCAGCTTTCGCAGTGGTCACCCATAGGAACCCCTGTTTCTTTTTTATGTACTTATATGGTATTAAACCTATTGTACTATAGGCGAACCGTCACAAAGCGCAGTTTGGGTTTTGGTGATGTTTTAGGAGGGACTCTGCCGTCCATACCTCCACCATAAGCTCCCATAGTTGGCTCTTACGACACCCACGGGAAAGGCCTATTCTATGCCGGAACCGACCCAGCATGCGAGTTCTGTGGTAAAGTACTGTGTGGTAAAGAGTAAAGTGGTACTGACGTGGTAAGAAGGCGGAGCGATGCGAGTGGTATACTCACGTGGTATGTGTGACTTGAACGGTGCTGGCGGCGGCGCGGGCGGGGGCGGGTCATCGTCCACCAGGATGACATCTTGTGAGTCCGACTCGTAGCCACCCCATGCTGCATGTACAATAAACACATAGATATATTAACAAAATACATTTTGTAATTTATTTACGACATTGGAGGCAAATGAGCAAGCAGCTCACCTGATGGTAAGTGATTACCGCTCCCATAGGCACTTGCAACATAAGAGAAATTGCAGACGTGTTGCCGGTATGTTGCAGGTATGTGTGTTTACATTTTGTATATTTTTTTAAATTAATATTCAATGTAATTATCATCATCATCATGTCAGCTTTTAACTGTCCACTGCTGAACATAAGCCTGCTCCTTGGAGGTTTTGCCAGTAGTTGCCACACTTGGCAGACGGATTGGCAACGGTAGTTAGGTTTTGGACATATTTTAAGATGGAAGCTCAAACTTCCTAAAATAATATGAATTATAAATATAATAAGCAATTAAAAAATTGCAGTCTGCGTTAAAAAAAAAACAACACAGAGAGACGGTCAGATCGAAGGTGCTCGATGCTTACCAGGTCGTGATGGTGGGCGAGGACTGGGTACAGCCGGGCTCACCACCTGCTGATAATTGGTTAGACTTTAAATAAGTGCTGCAATGTATTTGAGGTCGTCACTCCATCTAGTGCGGAGTCGTTTTACACTGAGTTTTCCCGTAGGGGGTCGCCACTCAAGAAAGTTTCTCCTCTATCGGTTGTCGGTTCTTTTATACATGTCGGTAACTTTAAACGGTTTAACGGTTAAATTATAGTTGATCATTTTAATTTAGAAATAAAATTATTTACTAAATATTATAAATTAGTAAATAAAATATTTACTAAATTATAATAAACTAATAGAATAAATTTGGGAGAACAACGGTGTCATTTCTACCTAATTTATTTATTAACCGACTTCCAAAAAAAGGAATTGTATTTTTTTTTCATGTTTATTTCGTCATAACTCCGTCAATAGTAAACCGATTTGAAAAATTATTTTCGTATCTTATTAGGATATATTTACAGATTAGTCCCATAGATATTTTTTTTAAATCAATTCCGTAGTTAGTTTTTAGATCGAAATAATTCGTCACAATCGAAGTCGGTTTTTCATGTGGGACAAAATTTTTCATTATTTTTATGGTATAACCAATAGGGTCGTATAAGTACAAATTGTACATCGTCAAAAATATGACCCCGAATTCAGAGTTGCAATTCAGCAAATGACGACATCCTAGTGGAAATAATGTAGACGACCTTTGTAATGGTGTCCCCTGGTTTTCTTACCCTGGAGAGGGCTGGCGAAGTGAGAGGAGTGCCACCGAGCCGTCGAACTGATCGCTCAGCTGAAGATCGATTTGATCCTGGAGAGAAGAACACAATAGTTACACACTTAGTTTCAAAAATATAACTCGAAATTTTATACTCCAGAGCAGAGACATATTTAAATAGGGGTGAGCCTAGTCCACCAAATCTGGTGCCCTAGGATCTGAACGGAGCTTCCAACTATGTATAGACACGTCTGAAAAATAATCTCAGATATGTCAAAATTCTAAAAGTGAATTGCTATAATAGTAAAATATGACAGCAAATGATATATATATATATATATATATATATATATATATATATATATATATATATATATATATATATATATATATATATATATCGTAACAGGTATGTACGTATGTATATATTTTTTTTTACAATTAGCAATTGCGAACTGTTTGTGCAGTTTGTTGCTTTGTTGCTACAGGTCTGTCAGGTAGTGATTCCTCCTGATAACTGTTGCGTCACGATGGGCCAACTGCCCTGACCTCATTATGGCTTCTTTAATGGAATGGTAATCCCGCCTGCGCTATTCATTCATTCATTCATTCATTCATTCATTCATTTATTTATTGCTATTACATGTTGTAACAAAATTGGTCTTAATTTACTAAAAGTAGCAAACATGAACCCTGAAAGGGCACAGCAATCACATTAATAAATATACATTGATACCTATACGCTGACAAGGCTCCAGTGAGGGATGATAAAAGAGAATGGAAGTAGGTCAGTCAGCCAGTCGTGACGAATTCCATAAGAATCAAACAAAATGGTTTCCAGAGAAAACCACGTGAAAGTTTTCTTTTTTGGATAAGAATGGTAACTCCGTCCGGGCTATCAGTATATGCTGACGAGGCCACCAGTGAGAGATGATAGGGGAGGATGAAAGCAGGTCATCGTGACGAATCCTAAAGAATTAACCAAAACGGTTTCCAGGGAAAACCGCGTGGAGGTTTACTAACAACCCCTTTGCCCACACTGCGTGGAGGTTTGTTGGGGCTGTTAGATCCCCATTACTAACAATCCCTTTCTCTTCCCCACTGTGAATAACGAAGGTGTACTCACCGGTGTGGCCGGGCGATGTCACAGAGGGTATGACCAAGTCCCGCCACCTCTTGACGAGGATCTTGGCGCGCCGCGCGAGCGTAGGATCCGACGTCTTGCGTCGCAGCTCGTTCACATGCTTACCCAGTCGGGTGGTCTGAAATAGGAGACGCGTACATATTAAAAACAATCGTCAATCGACCTTGATAATAGGCATCACAGTAATAAAGGGAGGGAGACTGTACAAAAGTGGATTGCTTGGGTACCTCTGTCCCATTTGTGTTTCAACAGTGAAGCGGCTGTGTTTGCAAAGCTGTGTTTCGGCGTGAATTTACTGGGTACAGAGGAATAACACCTGAGTCCTCAGGAATGGCAACGCATGGGGGGTATCATGGGCGAAACAGTATACTCTGTTATGTCCATGGTACTGCTCATGTCTATAGGCGACGGTTACCACTTTCCATCAGGTGGGCCGTCAGCTTGTTTGCCATTCTAACTTGTATAAAAAAAAAATTTACTGGCTAGCTTACTTTATATTCTCTAGTGTACTAACCTCCAGCAACTCTTTTGTGATATTAATTTTTTCCAAAATGGATATGATTTCGTTAACGGCATGCATGTCGACAACCTGGAATGTAAAATTTAATTAATTAATAAAATCATTCTACCGTTATAAACTCATTTCGCATCATCGTCATCATATCAGCCTTTGACCACTACTGAACAAATCCTAACTAAGCCTCCCTTTGGGGGGTTATGCCAGTAGTTGCCACGCTTAGAAGGCGGATTGTCTACCGCAATGAGGCTTTAGATATGTTTTAAGAGGGACGCTGCTGCCCATCCCTCGCCCCTCCTTAGTTGCCTCTTACTACACCCACGGGAAAGGTAGGGGTGGCCTATTCTATGCCAGGACCACACGACGAGTTATAACCTTTTTAGTGGAATGAAAATGGAATGGTAACCCCGCTTACGCTACCATATAAGTACGATGGCGGGGCACCAGGGAGGGATGATAGGTGAGGATAGAAACAGAGGATCGGACCACCCAGTTAGATGTGCGATTTCAGCTGAGAAGAACGAGGAAGAAACTCGACTATTGCTTTTTTAAAAATAAAGTTGAGATTACAAAAAAAATACAAATGACTGGAATGATGATACCAACTTTATATTGATAAAAAAAAAACAACAATCAAACACAGTATTCCTGAATAGACCAATCCCTATAACAAGCACCTGTTCACGAGTATGACGAATAAGCTAGCCATCGTGTGCAACCATATTATAGGAGTCCAACGACCTGAACCAAAAAAGTAGATAGAGAAGCTCATCATTTTGGAAGCCGTTTAAAAATATTTAATGTAGTCTCGCTCTCATTACGATTATTCTGGGTTTATGCACACCGGTTACATCTATAAACATCTAGATCGCGGACATATTGAAATAAATTCCGCAAGTAGGTGCCTCAGATCAATGTAAATAAACGTTTTATGCTATTAAACCGACTGCCGCAAAAAGGAGAGTAATGTTTTTCGAATGTACGTATATTTTTTTAGACAAATTCGATGTCTAGCTAGTATCTAAAAACAACTTTGTTGGAATTAATTGAAGTTTAGAAAATATACTTGAATATTAAATAATTTAAGATTGTATTTCACAAACAAATAAAAAACTTTTAGTAAAATACCTAACTAGTTTTTAATAAAAAACTAGTTAGGTATTTTGATTTGCAAACTAAACTACGATATGAATTTTGATAAAATTTCTATAAGACTAATCTGTAAGTACATCCTTACAGATTAAAAAAAGAATCATCCAAATCGGTTTAAAAGTGACAGAGTTATGAGGTAACAAACAAAAAATACAATCGAGTTGTGAACCTCCTGCTTTTTTAAGTCTATTAAAAAGCTATTTTTTTTTTTAAAGGCCACTTGCCTAAAAGTCTTAATTAAAATATTAGTCTTAATTAAATTAGTCTGTTATGGCTAATATGGTAGCTATATTAAGCACTTTTTGGTCTTAGGTTCTTCAAGCGGTGACACTTCAGTTTTTTCAGTGGGTGAACATGAAATGGCAACTATTAGTGAAATATATATAGGCAGGGCACCAGTGAGAGATAAATACAGGACAGTTGGCCCATCATGACGAATTCGACAAGAATTAATGATGACGGTTTCTAGGAAGAACCGCGTGGCGATCGACCTGATAGGGTATATTGCTAGCAATAAGGCTGTTAGGTTTCATCGCTAACAATCCTTTCCCTCCCGGCGATAGATCAGTAGTATGTTTTACGACGAACTAGTAGTACTTAGGTAAAATCATCTACCAAAACCTCTTAATTTCTAAAATTGATGTTGGAGTAGAAGGAATTGTTAGTAGTAATATACCCTGGCAGGTCGGCCTCCACGTGGTCCCTGGAAACCGTCGAGCTGAATTCCAGGTGTATTCATCACGATGGATTAATTGACCTGCCTTTTCATTCTCATCTATCATCCCTCATTGGTGCCCCGCCAGCGTATACCGTTAACGCAGCTGGAATTACCATTCCATAATTATCCATTAAAAAAATTTATGTTTGAATTATTTAAAAATTATTGTCACGTGCTTCGGAGAGCACGTATAGCCATCATCCGGTAGGTTACGTCAGAGGATTTCGTGTCGTTAGGCGCCCTAGAAACTCTTGATGGTAAAGGTTGCCACTCGTACATTAGTAAGTACAGTAGGAGCAGTTTAGTCAGTACAAATGTTACATTATTCAATTGTATGCCACAAATCGAAGACGGGGAAGACGTCAAATCTACTGGTTAAAAAGTTTAAAACCGTGGTTCGAAATAAGCACCAGCCAGTCTACCATGAAATGAAATTCCGAAATTTCGGACTCAATTTCGTGTTTTTGGTTTATACCAAAATCGGACCAACAAATGGAGTGTAACATTTCGTTCGTAATACATCCTAATCATAAAAGTCCAAAGGAACAATATTTTAACATTTTTAATACTTCCAAACGGCATACATTTTATATTTTAACATCAAATTTCCGTTTCGTTTGGCTCCGAAATTTCGGAAAACATTTCATGGTAGGCCCTCAGATCCCTTTTCAAGATGGCGGTGGATAAGGATCGAGATCGCCAACCTACGGTAGGAGATGACACCACAAGAGAGAGGACCACAAAGCACACCTTGTTAAGGTGATATTGTCAGTAAAAAGTAGAGACTAGAACTCTTGAACACTGCAATAAATTATATCGATTGTAAAATTATTATTATTATACCAGTCATTAACTTTGTCCACTGCTGAACAACATAAACCTTTCCCATAAAAGGAGTTGCCAGTAGTTGCTACGATGGGCAAGTGGGTTGGTAACCGCAGTTAGGCTTTGATGTTTGGAAAACATTAACTAATAGTTAAATAATTAAAAGTAATATAGTTAAACGACATTACTAGAAGGCTTGTGTTAATTTCTAAGCACGTATATGGTAATCCTGTTCCCTAAATAAATAACTAAATTATAAAGTTTTTTGGTTCCATCAAATATTATACAAAAATATTTATATATACATCAGAATCAAATATCAGAATGGTTACAGAAAAAAAAATACGCTTAAAAGCATGTAATCGAGAATCAGTTTAAAAATTGGCACAGTATTATAATAATTACGTTGACAGTTAGAGCAGGTGTTTCTGCTATTATTTGCATATTAATTGAATTGCATCTGGCGAACTAGGCATGTCTAGAGACACGGTACTGGCGCTTGGTTATGAATGTTATCAACCAACATTTCTGATATGGGATCGTTTCTCCATAAACTTTAATAGTGTTTCAACAATTTTACGACGTATTGCAATCAATTCGTCCGTGTATAGATCGTAACTGAGAAAAAAATAACTTAAAATAACCAATTTCCTACTATTGTATGGATGTTTGTTGTTTTTTAAACACTCGTACGTGACCTTGAACTTGTTACCGATTTGATAAAAAAAAAAACATATGGATCGGAAATGGACAAGATTATCTTGTGGTATTTACTCATAGTGAGCAGTACTGTATTGATTAATTTTTTTAGTTAAACTGCGATTTGGGTAATCATGTCTACATATTTACGATTAGCCTTGCATATTATTTTATACACTGTACTGAATGAAATTTTAGGAGTTAAACTCAATATAATAATTTAGAATCAAATGTTATGTAAAATAAGTTTAACACATCATAATGGAATAGGAGCCCCGGCCGCGCTTACGGAATACACTGGCGGGGCACCAGTGAGGGATGACAGGTGAGAATGAAAAGACAGGTCAGTTAGCCCATCGTGATGAATACACCTGGGATTCACCACGATGGTATCCGGGGGGGACCACGTGGAGGTCGACCTGACAGGGTATATTGCTAGCAACTGGGCCAGCAGTCCGTATTACTAACAATCCCTTCCCCCCTTTAAAATTAGTACTTTTTTTCAATGGTTTTAATCATCTGCATCGCATGTTACATTCCCCTCGATAAATCAACCAGGGTATTTCCCCGCCATAAGGAGTTGTAAATCCTATTACATATAGTTTCATTCTACCATCTATACCAATTTTATTGCATAAAAAATTCAATTAAGTATTAATTATTTATTTCACATGTCAAATAACATATTTAGAATTTAATATATATATATATATATATATATATATATATACTAATATTACAAGAAAAGATTTGTTTCTTTTAAATAGGTAAACTAAAAACTATTTAAAAAATCTTTCACCTTTGGAATGAACTACCAGTTTGTATGAGAAAAATAAAGTCATTGACGAATTTTAAGTAACAAGTAAAAAATTACTATTTAAGATAATCATCTCTGTCTAGTAACTAATACAATATATTTCTTTATATAAGTTTATATATATATTCATATATATGTATATATATATTTTTTATCTTTGAAAGAAAATAGAAGGAAGGATATAATAGAACGGTATACTAGAAATGGGAAAAGACAATGAGGAGGGCAAATCAAAAGATACGAGGACGATTTACCTAAAGAATGGAGAAAGTCAGCCAGGGATAGAGGAAAGTGGAAGCAATTGGGGGAGGCCTATGTCGACAGACAACCTGACCAACATAATGGTTGCTAGTAAGCTAGCTTAGTAATAAGTAGTATGTAAGTTAAAGTTAAATTGTGGTCAGAGAATAAAGGCTTTATTATTATTATTATATATCATTTATTTGCATCTATTTATGTAAGCATAAGGATTTTATTATTATGTGTAAGTATATTATTATTTATTTAGCATTTCAATTTATATTTAGACCCATTTTTAGTCTTATTTTTTTTTTCTGTTACGCCTTAACCAGACACAATTTTAATTATTCCTCTCCATCCTAAGGTCGCCTGGAAGAGATCGCTATTTAACGATAAGGCTGTCCATTGTCACCTCTCTATCTTCTATTTAATTAAGTTTATGTAATTTATTATTCATTATGTTTGTGTGCATATTGTTAATCATTATAAACTGTATAATTCATTGAATGGAACAAGTTTCCATTCATTCACCTATACTATAGGTGAAAGAATTGTAAAAATTACTAGCAAGACACCTTGTCAGGTCGACCTCCACGCGGTTCCCCCTGGAAACTGTCGTGG